CTCCACAGGCCGAAAATAGCCAGCTGAGTTTGGTGAGCAAAGGAGAGTTGCGAAAAGGGATAAAGAAGATAGAAGGAGAAAAAAATCATCAAAGGACCAAACTGTAACAGCACAAAAGCACTAGGTGGTATAAGAGAAATTGGAAATAAAATGGAAGGGTGATTGTTAAAGTAGAAATCAAAATTACAAAAAGGACAGACAAGACAAAAAGAGAAGAATATCATCAGAGGACAAAAACGTAACAATACAAAAAAATTACCATTAACAGTGCCAACGAGTCTGCCTCCACTGTGCATTGAGTGTAGTGCCACAGTTGTATGAGCAGTAAAACGGCATAATGTTCTTGCATTCTGTTTTTTCAATATTCATAAGTTAAGATGTGTTTTTGCCTAAAAGGGTAATTATTTGTTGTTCTTGGCCGACAGCACTATTTGATCTTATCTTGTCTCACTGGATGTGTCATAAAAAGAAATATTATTTTGATTTTTACTTTCAGTGCAACTATCCTTCCATGAAAAAAACCTATTTACAACCTTTTCACGTGCTTTTTTTTTTTTTTCACCTTTTTCTCTCATCTTCTTTTCGTACACGGAGATTTCTGCCATCTAAATTTGCTCCATTCGTATGCTAGTCCGAATATTAGCACCCAAAAATGACCAATTGAAAATTTAAAAAATCAAGACGGTGGAGTATACGTTATGCACAGAGGCGGCATATAAGAATCTCATCCAAATCCGTCCATAAAAATACGATTATGGATTCAATTTTTATTTTTTTCACTTTTTAATTCTTACTAAAAATAGATAAACAATCCTTTTTTCTTTAGTTCTCCATTACCGTTTGTATTTTCATGTGTTATCTCTTCTTGTATTTCTAGTAATTTTATTTTGTATAAATGAGTGGTTTACCTAATACAAATATTTTTTTGATTTTAAAAGAACAAAAATACTATCGTCATTTTTTCTTAATAATATTATTTTTAGATCATAAAAAAAAATGCTAAATATGCTGTGCCAAATTCTCATCTTTATCTCTTCTTATAAGATCGTTTTTATATAAAAATAAAAATATGTATGTAATGTGTAATGTGTTTGCTTCATGTGAGAAATTTTTATTAAGAATATTTTGATATCTCAATTAAAGATTTATGTTAATTAAAATCACTTTTGTCCTTACAAAATGATGTCATTTCTTACAAAAAGTACAGTTTGAAGAAAAATACAGACCACTATCCTTAAAAAATGATGAAAGTCTTTAATTGAGAATTTTAAAAAAATTAAAAATAAAATTGATATTAAAAATTATTTGATGGTAACATTGAAATTACTTGTATAAATAATTATTAGATTAAGATTTGCCCATGTTACAATATATACGTGCTAGATGAAATTTGAGAAGACCGACACGCTTATCCTTTAAAAGGCGACATTTTATTATCACGGTAATATTGAGCCTATTATGTCCCCGTGACCAGAAGGGCAAGCAACGGAAGATTTTATAATACACAAGGAGTAATTAATAATATATACGATAATTATTTTATGGATCCATTTTGAGAAGAGAGATAGACGCACAAAAAAGAGAAAAATTATATCCATACTTACTAAAAGTGATAAGAAGATTTCCACATCCGCTTAAATTTTTTTATTTTCTCTCTCCTATCTCTCTCTCTCTCTCTCTCTCTCTCTCTCTCTCTCTCTCTCTCTCTTTTAATGTCTATTTCTCTCCTCGAAGTGAGCCCATTAAGTAACTACTATACATGTCACTAGTTTGTATATTATAAAATTTCTCACGAGCAATCGATCATTTCATCAACTACCCGAAATCATATTTTGTGCTCGACTTCTTAGACGATGTTTTTTATGCAAGTTTGGACACTTCCCTTAGTTTGCATCTTCAAGCTCACAATGTGGTGTTTCTTTTCTTAGGAGTTACATGTTAGATATTCACGTTATGTTATTATTGGACAACCATTATATACATAAGATTAATAAATCATATGATATAGTGCGGATAAAAATCTTATTTCTAATGTAAATCAAATTTATTTGCTGAGCAAAATCGTTTGATTTATATATATTTATTAGAAAAATAATCAATAATATTGATATAAAAAATTATATTTGAATAATTGAAAGATTCTTTCAAAACATTATTTCAATTATTTTATTTAAAAATATTGATTTTAAAACATAAAAAAAAAACAAATAATTGGTGTTGTGTGGATATATAATTAATTTATAACAAAACTAATGATATATATTTCAATTGTTTTATTTAAAAAATATTGATTTTAGAACATAAAAAAATAAAAAAAAATAATTAATATTATATATGTAGATACATAATTAACTTCCAACAAAACTAATGATATATGTGTGTGTTATGATCATACTTAGTAGATTCAAAGTATATAGTATAAACAATTTTTTTTAAAAAAATACCGTTTAAGATGTATGAAATATATTAAAGTCAATAAATTAAAATAAAAACTACTACAAAATTGGTTTTCATAAATTTTACTTCTTAATTTATGATAAAGAAATTCTTGAATTGTAAATTAAATTATAAATTAGTTCATTTCATTTTGAAAAATGAATTAATTAATTCTTTTGATTTCAAGAATAAATTATTTAATTTTTTTTAATCGGTGTTGACCACGAATAATATATTTTTTATTTTAAAAAATGTATTTTTTCATGTTTTTATTTATTTATTTTATTCTTTCTCTATTTCTTAAAAACAAAAACAAAAAACAAAACCATTAAAATAGAAAAAAGGAAACAAAATTAGCTTTTGAACCAAAGGGACTAATGGTGTTATGTATGTGGATACATAATTAATTATTATGATCATGCTTAGTAAATTCAGAATATATAGTATAAATAATTTTTTTTAAAAAAAGAAAAATCATCTAAGTTGTATGGAATATATTAAATTCAATAAATTGAAATAAAAACTACTATAAAATTGGTTCCCATAAATTTTACTTCTTAATTTCGATGAAAGAAATTTTTGAATTGTAAATTAAATCATAAACTAGTTCATCTCATTTTGAAAAATGAATTAATTAATTCTTATGGTTTTAACAATAAATTATTTAATTTTTTTAACCAATGTTAACCACGAATAATTTATTTTTTTATTTTAAAAATGTATTTTTTTGCATATTTTTACTTTTTTTATTCTTTCTCTATTTCTTAAAACAAAAAATAAAACCATTGAAATAGCAAAAAAGACAAAAAAAAAAATTAGTTTTTGAACCAAAGGAACTAATGATGTTATGTATGCAAATACATAATTAATTTTCAATAAAATTAAAGATATATATATATATATATATATATATATATATATATATGTGTGTGTGTATGTATATATTATGATTATATTTAGTAGATTCAGAGTATATAGTATAAATAATTTTTTAAAAAAATATCTAAATTGTATGGAATATATTAAAGTCAATAAATTGAAATTAAAACTAGTACAAAATTAGTTTTCATAAAATTTACTTAATTTATGGTGAAAGAGATTCTTGAATTGCAAATTAAATTATAAATCAGCTTCTTCTCGTTTTGAAAAAAAGAAGAATGAATTAATTCTTTTGGTTTCAAAAATAAATTTTTTAATTTTTTAAATTAGTGTTGACCATAAATAATTTATTTTTATTTAAAAAACATCTTTTTTCATAGTTTTACTTATTTTTTTATTTCTCTATTTCTTTAAAAAAAATGAAAACATTAAAATAGAAAAAAGGACAAAAAAAATTAGTTCTTGAAACGAAGGGACCAATGTTGTTATGCATATAGATACATAATTAATTTTCAACAAAATTATATATATATAGTATGATCATAGTATAAACAAACATTAAAAAAACTTAATTTGGGCTCATCATGACACACGACAAGTTGTCATTAACTAAAACTTACCACGTATATTTACGAGATATATTAGGAAACAACAGTAATATAAAAATAAAAATTTTAAATTAGACAAAAAAAAAATTTGGTCTCTCCGTTAAAAAATTCAAATTGTTGGAGTTCTCCATATGCCCAAAACTCATTTTTTTAAGTGAAAAAACGGGACACTATTTATAAATAGAGAATATTGTGATTGCTTTATAGATGTAGCTTTTGTTTTTTAATTGAGATACTAAGTTTTTTTTGTTTAATTTAAGAGTTTTATTCTTATGTCATTGTTGTTTTAAACTCTAATGTATCACATAAGCATATATAACAAGTTCTATCTAATAACAACTTGTCACGTTACTAATTCAATCACTCAATTTAAACCTAATATGACACATGATGAATTAATATTAATTAGAACTTATCACATATATTTACGTGATATAAAAATAAAAATTTTACATTGAAAAAAATTAGTATCTCAATTAAAAAATTTAAATTGTTGGCCATAAGCCCAAAACTCTTTTTTTTTTTTTTTAAAGTGAAAATAATTGGGCACTATTTATAAAGAGAGAATATTGTGATTGCTTTGTAGATGCGGCTTCGGTTTTAGACAATGGAACTTTCTACACAAGTACGCACCCATTAATTCTCTCTCTCAAACTGTTCTCATTTGTTTTTCTTTTACTCTTAATTCTTATATATATATATATATATATATATTCTTTTGTGACTCATAAATAAATCATAATTTTTTTAAAATAATTAGTCATTGGTTCAGCTTAGCGCCTTCAAATTGTCGTCCCATAAAAATAAAAAGCAATCAAAGGGCTGCTTTAAAGTGGGGCCGTCATCACATCATTGATCAACATCAAACACGTGGCACCACACGCGTCGCTAAACCCTCTTCCCATACGTTTCTCCTTCATTGAAATCTTTTCGTCTCAATAAATGCACCTCACCAGTCTCAGCTGTTATTTAATTAGCAAAAAACACAGAGGAAAGAAAATCGCAGGTAAAAAAGGGAAAAAAACGCTCAGTAACCCCTTCATTTTTTCTTTGTTGCTTTGATCCTAGCTTTTACTTATGTCAATTGTGGTACTGAAAGTCCCGATTTCTTTTCCTCTTAGAATCTGTTGGAAATGAATTAAAGTTTGTTTATTTTAATGATCATATATGCTATGTCTTGTTAACGATTCGTAATCAATGTTTATTTTTCTATATTTTTTTCATGATTTTAATGAGGTTTTTGATGCATGGATTTAGTTATTTTTGTTGTTTTTCTAGAATTTTCTTGTCTCGCCTGACCTTTTCAACTCTATTGATGACCGAAACAGAAACAAGAAAGAGAAAACTTTCCCACGTGAAATGGTAGGTGAAGCAAAAGTGAGGAGTGAAGACTTGAACTTGTGTTTCGAGAAGCTGATGATGCTTGCTTTTGGTGGTGGAAAGAGTGGGATTAGTGAAGGAGGTGGGAGAATGGAAGGTGTGGTGATCACTGAGTGGAAAGATATTCCCATGGAGCTGTTGTTAAGGATCGTTTCTCTTGTTGATGATAGGACTGTGATCATGGCTTCCGGTGTTTGTAGTGGATGGAGGGATGCTATTTGCTTGGGACTCACCCATCTCTGTCTCTCTTGGTATAACTTTTCTTTCTCTGTCTATAATAATCAATATGTTGTTCTAGCTGTTTCTAACTTTTGGGGTTTTTGTTTTATTTATGTTGTGTTAATTGTGTGTCGAATTGATGTTATCTTTCAATCAGTGACAGGATAATTATGCTGTTTTAGTTATTAAACTGTTTCTTCCTTCACTAGAGTTTGTATATGGCCTCTGTATTGGATCAATTTGTCCTCGGTTGTCATCTGCTCCGAAGCCATGATCAAAACATTGCTGATTGGTTACAGAAAGTAACATGGAAATATGCAATCTTTGCAAACTTGTAACCCTGTTTCAATGTTAATGTCACCTGCAGTAATCAGTTCTGACATATGCCTAGTTGGTTTTTTTTTTTTTTTTTTTTTTTTTTTTTTTTTTACGGGTAAATGAGTGATATAGTAGACAACTAGAAATTCATTTGCTTGTTTGCATGAGGCATGTTAAAGATTAAGTTGAGGTTAATTTGCATCAAGATTTTAGACTTGTTCTATTGAATCTCCTAAATATTTCTAATAAAATCTGAGACCTTTTGAATTCTAACTTCTTAGAAATTGTTTCTGCATATTGTCCCGTCATATGTAGCTTGTTAATCTGTTCTGAATTTATTCTCCTTCATCTTTGGCGCTAATAATTGCATCAACTCTTTTCCTCAGGTGCAAAAACAACATGAACAACTTGGTTCTGTCTCTTGCTCCTAAATTTACAAAACTGCAAACTCTTGTTCTGCGCCAAGATAAACCAAAACTCGAAGATAATGCTGTTGAGACTATTGCTAGTTACTGCCATGATCTGCAGGACTTGGATCTCAGCAAAAGCTTTAAGCTTAGTGATCTCTCTCTGCATGCATTAGCTCATGGTTGTCCTGATCTTACTAAACTCAACATCAGTGGATGTACAGCATTCAGTGATGTTGCTATTAAGTATCTGACTGAATTTTGTCGAAAATTAAAAATTTTGAATCTCTGTGGATGTGTCAAAGGTGCAACTGACCGTGCATTGCAGGTTGATGCTAGTTACTAACTTTTTTTTGTTCATATGCCTCTTAAGAAGTTATGTTGCTCACAAGTTTGATAAACAATCTGCAGGGTATTGGACGTAACTGCAGTCAGTTGCAATTTTTGAATCTGGGATGGTGTGAGAATGTGGGGGATGTTGGAGTAATGAGTCTAGCATATGGATGCCCTGATCTCAGAACCCTTGACTTGTGTGGATGTGTCTGTATAACAGGTATTTTCAAATTTGGGGATGATTTTTTAGCATTTCACAAGATCTACATTATTATTTTACCAAAATGGATTTTGTTAATTGGCTGTAACGCTACAGGGAACCTTAAGAAACAATCCAATCCTGAGAATTCTCCCTGGAGTGGCCTGATCTATTACATTTGCAAGCCTAAGACTTTTACGGTTGTACTGGACAGTGTCCCTTTTTTATTAGAAGTATAAAATTGAGAAAGATGATTCATGTAGAGTTGAAATCTGCAATTTAAACTGATATGACCATTTCACATATTTTCAATGTCTGTTCAAATCTCATTAACAAACTTTAACAATGCCAACCTGAATCTGGTACCTGTTAATTTGATGCTAAGAGTATAATGCCAAATTCAATTGGAGAAGCTGACAGTTGTTATTTATTTCTACGGTTGTTTTGGCATTTTGATCATGAGGATTCATGAAGTACTTGTAATATTTTTGCAGATGATAGCATAATTGCTTTGGCAAACAGGTGTCCGCATCTGACATCCCTTGGTCTGTACTACTGCCGGAACATCACGGATAGAGCAATGTATTCTCTTGTCCACAATCGAGTGAAGAACAAGCCTGCAATGTGGGAATCAATGAAAGGCAGGTATGATGAGGAAGGATTACGGAGTCTAAATATCAGTCAGTGCACAGCAATTACACCTCCTGCTGTTCAGGCTCTATGTGACTCATTTCCTGCACTTCATACCTGCTCAGGGAGGCACTCCCTCGTCATGAGTGGTTGTTTGAGCTTGACATCTGTGCATTGTGCCTGTGCTGTCCATGCACACCGCTCTGCAAGTTCTTTTCCTCATCCAGCACATTGAGCTGTACCTGCAGCTGGGAATTTAAGAGCTGTGCATGTGAGCCTGTGGGAGGTAGAACTATTCCTTTGTAAATGCGTGGTTGTGTTTAGAGATGACCATTTGGATGCAAATGGGCAGCCCATTTGCTGTTGCAAAATATGGTCTGTAAAGCTATGGACTTTTATCAGCTCTTGGTTTCTGAATTGAGCAAGCATTTTGGCTTTTTTAAAGCCAGGTTCACTGTTGAAATCTGTGTTCGTTGGATATGGTTTACTCTGACAATTATTAACCTGCCTCAATGTGATGATCAATCAAAACCATAGGCTATATTTTTAAATGTTTTATCTAATTTACTGAAACGTATCTCTCTTGTGAAATATCTCATGAGAATTTCAGGATTATCCTCATCTCATTCTATGTCATGTAATTTGGCCAATCTGTCCGGTACTTCAGATTTGAAGCAAAAAATATTGGGTGATGGTGGTACCCCTAATAGTAAAACAATACCAACTGAAGTCCCATTATCAGACAATGCTCGAAAATGTTATGTCCTGAGAAAAACTTATCCTACATGTCATTTGCTTCCATAGTAGGTTTAAACCATTCGAAGGTTATCTAAGTCGTTCGAAGCCATTTTCATGCTGGTGGTGTTATGACCTGTGGAAAAGTAACTTTTGAGCGTCTTAGGAAGCGGTGGTTGGATGGTTTGTAAGATCTGTTTCTACCTCAATTAAGATTTCAGAGCTTGCCGACCTCATAATTTCTTTCCGCTTTTTTGAACTCTCTACTAGTGGACTGGTCAAGATTATGCCACAGAGTTACTGTAGGTATTGCCTCATTTTACCCTCCAAATGAGAGGTAAAATATCAATCAAGCGAACTTTTTTTTCGTTAGTGTTGTTTTCTTGTCGCTAAGAGGACATTTGAGCCGACTGAGCTAATCTTTCCTATTTCTGACGGGTTGCTGGTATGAGAAATGCAAAGCACATAGTCACGCTTCTTGCAGCTTTCTTGGATGCATCATTGGAAGATGTTTGGAACTAGGAAACAAATATTGCCTCACTGCAATTTTAAACATTCCTCTTCCTATTCTTGTCATAAAAGAAATATCAGAAACCCCAAAGATCGTCTCCAAGTCATTGTAAGATAACAACCTTTCTACTTGACAGATTGAGTTCTAGTCTTATGGATAGTCAGTTCATTGTAAGGTAACAACGCTACCTGACAGATTGAGTTCTCGTCTTATGGATTGTCAGTTCTATATGAGAGATTACAGATAATGTGGATTGCATTGATTTGTTGTCTTTGAATAAATATATAACAAACAATATAAATATAGCTCGTCCCAAACTATTCCTTGAAAGCAAAACTTCCCCATTCGACAAGACCCCTTTGGGTTTATAGATGATTAGAAGGAGGAAAACAATGTTTTACCATCCCCCAGTGTCAACCTTTGGCATGTAAACTCTTATGCATCATTTGCTTTTGTACACAATCTCTTCATCATCCACATCAAATGCTGGATTACACAGGCATCTGAAGAGTCTGCCAATACCCTGCCAATGTAAAGAACAAACTAATGATATATCCACATTTTCCTCATGGACTCAGTTTACTATTGAATACAGAATGATTTTCCTAGAATGCAGATCAAAACAATTGTGCTTAAGGCTGTCTTTATAGATCTGCAACAACTGCAGATCGAAAGAACATATTCACAACTTGCCTACTATCCGAAGTACTAACTATATGGGCCATTAATAGAAGTAGAACCTTTCTTTCTGTCTTATTCACTATGTTATTTTGTATTCACAGGTACATTTCTCTAGGGCACAAATTAGAGCTGAAAAGAAAAATGCCGTCGAGACATGAAAGCAACTGAAGTATTAGCTCTGAGTGGTAGTAAGTAACATGCCTGAGTAAGTAGAGGGGTTCGATAGGATAATGCCCTTGGTGAATCTTCTTCGCTACTGCTATCAGAAGTGCTTCCATCATCATCAGTTTCAGCAGCATTTTTTCCTTTTGATGTTGCCCCACTTCGTACTTGCTTTTCCTGCTGATTTTTTTTTTAACCAACATCAAGTCCAAAATTATCAACCCGGATAGCAATTATTTAGCATCATGACATAATCACAATCCAGTTATGAGTTATTCTAATAAATACTGCACCTGGAAGAGTTTCCCAAGAATTTTCAATGCCAAAGCACGGGCTTTAAGCTCTTCTTTTCTAACATTAGTTTCTTTTAGGACCTGTAAACAAATTAAAATTATGATAAGAATCTCATGGAAGATCTTTTTTCCCCAAACAGCTGGAAGAAAGGTAGCTATTTGGCAGAAAAAGTATTCCTGATCCAACTCTATTTTTCTCCAACAAAACCACAAACTGTTTGAAATAGACTACATTTCCTATATTCCACCCTGAAAGAGAAAGGTTAAACAAGATTAAGAAGACAAAAAAATAGTTCATGAGTAACTCTTATTTATGAAACTGAGGACATTAACGAGGTTTTCTCAAGTAAAAATGGAGAGACTCACCATTTGGCACACATGTACCACGGTAATTTCAATGTCCACGACATTCAGTTTCCACAATGAGTTCATCAATGTGTCTTTATTTGAGAGTAGGTGTGATTCAACATCATTTCCAGGGCCGCTTCCATCCATTTTAAATTGGCGGCGCATATCTTCTTGAAGTTGCAGTAACTGAAAAGCGCCTGAATTTGTGTTCCATAGATAGTTAGGTACACACACCAAGAATGCTATTCTTAGAGAAAAAGATGGGGATTTAGGGTGCCGATTTATAATACCTTTTGCTGCTGTAATCTGTGACTTCCAGAAATGTCCCTTGTTGCGAACCCACTCTGCCAAAAATGGCACCCCAAGATAGATTGCTTTCTTTCCAAGCTCTTGTGCTGCTTGTCTTGAATATATGTAGCCAATAGTATGTAATATATCCACTCCAAAAGCTGTATCTTTCAGTCAAACAAAATATTAAGCTACGCCGTGGATTTTTCAAATCACAGATTGCAGATGCATCAAGAAATGCAAGGACGGGGGTAGTTGAGTTCAGCTTAATTTACCTGCATCAGAAAGCCTCTTGGCTTCTGATTCTGCGCGCCTTAAGAACCCAACTCTGTCACCTTGAGCATATTGATTAAGAAAATCTTTCAGAAACCTTGCTAGCTTTTCTTCTCTTTCTTTCTGGACAGCCTGCAACGAATAATCACAAACCGAAAATACAAAGTACAGGCTGTATGAAATAATCAACATATAACAATTCTATCAAAAAAATAAAAAAATCCAGAATATAGATATGTAGGAACAGACATGATAGAACTAGCTACACATTGCATACTTCCAGCATGTGTCGTACCTCATAACATTAATAGGGACAGAAATTCTAAGCCAGGTATACTCTTGCAGAACTTCAAAGCTGAAACTTTTTATAGGAGAAGGATAAAAATTACAAGTAGAAATCCAAGTCAAAACTCAAGCTATTCAGCTATTCATGGAATTACATAGGAAAAGGAGAATAGGGACGGCCAAACCAACTGGAATTTCCTTAGTGGAGTGAAGAAATGCTACAGTGTAATCTTTGTATGAATGACGGTAATCCTGCTATGGCAGTTTCTTGAGTTTAAATGTACTTTCAAGGACTGCCTACTTCTTAAGCACAAGACTTCATGAATTTGGTGAAATTCCATACCTTCAATTTCTCATGTACTTTATCGGGATCGTCACTTTCACTAGCTAATTCAGAAGAAGCCATTGACGTCACAGATAGATGCCCTACGTAGTCCTCAAATAGTTCACTCCCAAACAGAAGAGCGAATACAGCTGTGGGGTCAAGCATTGTTTCCCTGAGAAATAGGATCAAATTATTTGAAGGAGAAAATACCATCCTGGGAAGATGAAGTCTACAAATTAATGATGCATGGAAGTCAACGTGCGAGTAAACATAGATATTTAAATGCTCAAATTGATAATCAACCTGCATTCACTAGTTCAGAATTTGAGTTATTCTCCTGAAAAAAATATTCACTGAAAAATGAATCAATCATTTATTCGAAAAGGGGTTTGCTGCAATGAGTAATCTATAGCCTTGACCAGAAAACTGTCTCAATCGATCATTCTGCATTTTCGGGCCTAAACGTCTATGCTATATATTTTCAAGCAAACTTCGGGAGTAGGGATCTTTACCATCTCCAAGAAAACAGGACTAAAGCAAATTAATAATAATAATAATACCTTGATATGCAATGCTTTCCACTTTGATCATATGCATCTCTTCGCACTGGATCACTCAAAACTTGATAAGCTTCACCTAACACCTGCCAAATTAGAATTGTTTAAACCCTTTGTATTTTCCTATCAAGAATTCGTCACTAGGTTCTCCATGCTTGCTATGTGAAACTGTGTTCTGGCACATTAGATTCCCCACATTTTCCAGTTTTACGTGATAAACATACTGCTCCTAAAATGGAAACAACAGAGAGGACGATTCCTAACATTCTCATCCCTAATCTAGCATTTTCTTCCCACTTCCCTATTATTTTTTAGAAACCAGACATTTGAAAAGGAAAAAATAGGTGGCCATGTCTATGCTGAAGGGATAGAATCATAAAATAAGCATCATAACGAGGTGAACTTGCCTGAAATCTTTCTGCAGCCCGTGGATCATCTGGATTTTTGTCTGGATGAACTTGCCTGGCCTGTAAAATAACACATCTCTCTCTCGTAGTTAGCCATGGTGAAAAGAAAAGGCTAAAAGAAAAGGCTAAGTATTAACAGAATTACAAAAATCAAATCCTCACGTAAGAAAGTTTCTCTTATTCATATTTAATCAAAAGAAAAATTAAATTGTAAAACAAATTGGATGCGAAGAAGCTCGTATTCTGTTGAATTTCTGAAGGGCAACAGGCTCCATTCATAAGTTGGTCAAAATTTTTCGTTTACTTTTTAAACTCAATTGAGATTCTGATTCGCTATTTGCCAGTCTAAGTAATTGTAATCTGGATATGTTTGCCAACTCAAATTCACCATAGGAATACCGAAACTAAAATTCTAAATTATTGCATTCCAAGCATCATTAATAGGCATATTAAAATTACCAACACCAACCATATATCTAGGCCCTCAAAAAAATCTAAGTGATCAAACCTTAAGATAATAAGCTTTGCGAATCTCTTCCTCTGAAGCAGAAGGGCTGACACCAAGAACATCATAGTACTCAGTTTCCTTCACCATTCTGATTTCATAGTACTCAGTTTCCTTCACCATTCTGATTTTGAGTAAACAGTAAGAAAGTGAAATGATGATCTGAAGCTTCTTCTCCAAGGAGTTGGAGTCACGATTGTTTTGGAAAGTGAGAAGAAGAAAAGAAAAGAGTTGAGAATATAGGAAAAGTGACTGACTGGGAAAGAGATGGCCATATTTTGGAGAGCCCCACTAGCTTCTGTTGCCTTTCCAGTTCTTCACAGCAATAAACAAATACCTGAAACTGCTTTTCGCGGGAGCAAAGCAGTATTTTAACTGTCACTAAGGTGGCGCTTATGATTTTCTTTCTTTCAAGTCATCAGATTTCAGGTCAGAGAGCTGTCGGTGGGCTTGGGCTAGCCATTGGTGGGCTTTCTAAAGGTGGTCCCTCTGTTGTGGGGTTTACTGTTAGGTTTAGTTTCGATCCAAGTTGTTTAGGTGGGCTCTATGATCTATCCCCAAAAAGAAATTGGATGGACCTACCCAAAAGGGAAAGTGCATCGAATCATTGGAATGGTGGGCTGTGAGATTTGCATATCTTTTTCGAAAGATTGTTATATACAATGAATAGAAGAAAGATTCATTCAAAAAATAAAATAAAAATAATGACAAAGGAAGATTGCTTTTTGGGTATTGGGCATTATGAGAAGAACGTGGTATACTGGTATGTATTCGCTCTACAGCACAAAAATAAAGCAGTCACGTAAGTGTATAACAAAGGGAGCCAGCCAGCCGTCATTTCTTTGTTTACCACCATTGTCTTTTGGGGCAGGCAAGGCCCTTCCAGTTTCCTCTGACGGTCTGACCAGATGTTTGTGTCCGACTACGGCGCGGTTTGAAAGGAAAAAGGGAGGGTCGGGAAGCCCAATAAACAAAAAAGAGGTCCTACCGTGAGTCGAACCCAGGTCGCTGGATTCAAAGTCCAGAGTGCTAACCACTACACCATAGAACCATTTGTGTCCTTGTGATAACTATTTAATTAATTATTGTTTTGTCTTTACTTCCAACAAAATCAAATTCATATTCATCTCTTCTATCGTCAGTCGTCCGCCAACGGCATGTTTATTATTATTATTACTTTTTAGGCAACTAAGAAAGGTTTGTGGCAATAGAGCAGGGAATTTTTGTTGTGTTTTGCCTACGTAATCTAAATGCTTCATGTAGGAGAAACCCGACGTGTCTCAGATCATCTAAATCAATAGGTCACCAGACTCACCGGTCACCAGACTCACCACATACCCACAAACTACAACTTTATATAACTGCCGCATACAAATGGGATGAAGTTTAATGAAGAATCTGGGTAGCATCTAAACCAGTGGCACCACCTCCCTGGGGAACTTTTTTGATATGCTATCTGCCACTTACTGGTGATTCATTGATTCCTTGCCCCAATAAATCTGGGGAAATATCAGTGATTACTATGATGATGATGATACTATAACGAATAATGCAAAAGGTTGGGAACAGAACTTTGAATACATAATGTGTGCTGTTAGTATCATTGCTGAAAATACTCTACTTAACAGACGGAAAATCTAAATGGGGCGTTTGGCCTGAGAACAATGCAACAAACTATGTTCAACATAAATAGCTTACAAACATTTCGTAAGGTCAAAATTTGATTTTTGCAAGCCCCTTTTGAATTTTCTTCTTAGAGCCCTCTTGAGTAGGAATCATGGGGCAATGCGAATTCGAAAGTGACTTAGTCTTTACATCTTCTCTTCCCTCTTCATAGTTCCTACATTTTTTTTTTGTTTTCTTAAAGATGAACATGCCTTGAGATGCAATCACTTTTGACAGCTTTTACTTCTTTGATTTGCCCCGTTTTCCATTTTTACCGAACTTTTTACTCTTTGAACCCTTGTTCTTCATATAAGAAATTCTGTCTGCCTTCCTCTGCCTCTCCTTTCGAACTTGTTCAAGATCTTTAATTTCTGAACGCATGTTAGCATTAGGCACAGAGCGCTGCTTCTTGCCCCCCTGAAGTTTCTATTATTCCCTCGTAATTGGCGGTCTCCTGCAGCAAAATAAAAAAATAAGCAATTGCTATGTTTTTCTTCTGGATGTTTAGACAGCAAATCCCAAACCAATGAAGTTATGCTATATGCCACTTTGTTCATGCATGCAGTTAACTAAGATCTAACATCCAGAAACTGGAAAAAGCCAGTAGCCCAAAAAACCAAATGCATTGATATTCTCCAAAAAAACAGGTAAAGGAACCCTTCAACAGTCTCAAACTTGTACATGAATATTAATTCTGTAAAACAAAACAAGATAATCCAAACAAATAGAAAAGAATGTTGTAGACCAATGAAGAGCAGCATCCGATTACAGAAGCATACCTGAGAAGCTTGTGGATTCCTCAGTGTTTCCGCCATTATTTGTTCCTTTAAGAGAGATTTTCCTGTGCGACCCTTCTTTCCACTTCTTGTATATCCCAGTCTTGGATGCTTTTACTTTAGCACCACTTTCTGTCTTTATCTGCACACCAACGCCAACAAAAAAGGAATGTGATCTAAATATATAAATGGTGTGACCAAATATAGAGCCACAAAAAACTTGAGACAAGATAAGACCTAATATGACAGTTATTAAATTACTATTTTTTTTCATGATTCAAGAAAAGCTCATTTTCAAAGTGATCTAATATGACAGTTTATTCTATCTCTGCAAAAATTAACCAGAACCAGTCATTCCCCTGCATGTCATTCAGCATTCGTAATAGGATGGCAGATTCTCCATTTAGGAGCTAAAATAGGAAAAGCTCAAAAGAGTACCTTTCCACTGGCTGTAACACGATCACCATTGTTTAATTTGATGTACTTTTTATTCCTCTGCCAACATATAGATATGTCAATTATAAGCCAAACTGCTGATAGAAGAAAATTGCAAGCCATCATTATCATTATCATTCAAATGTTTCAAGTACCTTATCCCAATGGTATACATTTTTCTGTTTCTGTAAGCCCTGACCATCATCTGCAACCAGATCCAAAACAGCATTTTCCAACCTAACAGCATAATTGATTTTCGCTAATAAGAAAAAGAACACCCTACACCAACCAGAGAAAAGCACACAACAACCATTCCATACTTCAAAATAATGTTGGACAACATCATATATCAAAATTTACCTGTTTGATCCGAAGCCTTCGTTGCCTCTCACTGAGAGGCCTGCCTCTGAATGCTGATATCAATACCAAAATACAGGTAAAATATTTAGCCTTGATTTTTTCCATCAATGGAGAATTTCCATTTCCAAGAAAAAGAAAACATACAGCAGCTAAAAAGCAATTGGCAATTCAATATCAAGATAAATAGCATCAGATGGAAAGTTAAAGGAACAAATTAATGGTAGAGGACATAAAGATAGCATACATGATTAGTTGGTATTGAACTAATGAAGTATTCCTCATCCTTGAAACTCTTCGCCTTTCTTTTAGAACCACGCACCACTAACATCCATGTTATTATGTTTAGTATCAGGAAAGAAAGTGATTATGACCACCAAATATATATTTTTATAGAAAATGAATAATTAGGGCGTTATACATATTGGAGAAGCACAAACCTTTTTTCTCCTTTTCTTTTGAAGTAATTTCAGAGTCAACCTCCTGCTAGTGCCAAAAACACATAGTTAGCTAAACAAAAATGAGAACAAGAAAACTATGGTGAACAGGTATCACACAAGTGTAAATAAATAAATCAAGCCCCAGAGCTAATAAAGGCCAAATGTCTTAACCTAGTAACCGAAGAGGTTTGGAACTAACATAAGTGAAAATAGGTCTAGTCCTGCACTTCAATTGCACCAGGCTTTCAAGCAAGGTGTGGAAAATAGAGATCTGAGCCCAACTAAAACTGGGGTCAAGAAAAGTTAAGAGTACTGCCTCTGTTACAGCTAGCTTAGTGCTCCACAGACACACACATAGAAAGTAATACGAAGAACAAAAACCAGCATTGAGTTCATGCAAAGATCTTTGAAATTAACAGTGTCCTTAAACATGTTCCTAAAACTGTTTCTTTGACGAGAATGACTCCAAGAGAAAATGCCATCAAATCATATGGGCATCTCATATGGCAGTTTATGATGTTAGAATTGGCCACTGACTTTCATGAAATTCAATATTATCATGAGTTAATTGCAAGTACCTTGTTTGCCAGCTTGCTAGTGCGCTGCTGCTGTACCAAATTAATGATCTCCTCATGAATAGCTCTCTTTTTTTCATGACATCAACCCACTGACTAGGACCCTGCGGTTGAGCCACAAACTCAATATAAACTAATAAAAGGAAACATCATTGTAATGCTGAGGACCATATTGTCGTCCACATAAAAATGATTGAGCAACAACTACATAAAGAGAATATAAGGGATTGTTCAAGATGGTTAAGACGCTTAAAATTGTCAAGAGCATATGGATCAGAGAAATGTTATGATCGCTGATGGAGGCATAATGATTTCAATAAATTCTCACTAGCATAAGAAAGCACATGGCTTCAAGTCACATTTTAATCAAGAGCACATTGCCCTGAATGGCATATCTGCTAGCTGAGTTAGAAATGGAAGGTTACCTGAAAATTCTTTGATTTTGCTGCTTCACCTTCAGCTTCCAATATAGTCTGCTTGGGTCTAATAAGGTCCAGTCATTGCATAGTTAGAACAATTTAAGCAAGCAAATTAAAAGAAAAATATGGAGACATGCTTTCAAAAACATTGAGACAAATAAACACTTTAGGGACACCTGAATGCTTTCAAACGCTCAGAAAAGGCCAGTGCCATTAATTCCCCACCTCCTAGACTATTTATGAAGATTGGATGCAACCCTTCACGGGGTAAATCCTTCACTCTTTTAATGGACTCCTTTGCAGGTAATGGTTTAGTCTTTGTATACAAAAGAAAAGCATTTGTACAGGCTTTCTGTAAAGCAGTCAGTTCAGCAGATGAATCAATGATTTCTCGAACTCTATCGGAAACAAGATCAAGGACTGTCTGGGGGAAACGCCCATAAACAGTTTCTCCATTTGCAACTACTTGATCAATTTTGTCCATTACTCCATCCAAATCCTGCAAAACCTCCTCCTCGGTGGGGGCAGCCCTGATTGGCTTTGAGAGAAACAGATGAAGATCTAAAACATAAGGCATGTCTTCAGATGTGACGAAAGAAAAGGCTGTTCCAGTCCGACCTGCCCTAGCAGCTCTCCCCACACGATGCACAAAAATCTTAGGTTTTGGAGGGAAGTCCCAATTTATCACATTATCAAGCAATGGAATATCAATGCCCCTAGCTGCAACATCTGTCACAATCAACAACATAGTCTTTCGTGCCCTAAACCTTGATATATGAATCTTACGAGCATCTTGATCCATATCACCGTAACAAACCGAAGGTTCAATGCCATCTTCTTTAAACAGAACATTTAGAAACTCCACATGATGTTTCGTAGAAACAAATATCAATGTTTGCTGATCAGAACTAATATGCTCCCTTATCAAATAAATCAATGCTGCATATTTTTCCTCTTGCCGCAAGGTAAAAAACATAGTCTTCAAATCAGGACTAATCTTAAGATCCACATCGAGCCGAACAAGCTGAGGATCTCTTAAACCTGCCTTGGCAAACTCCGCAAGTGCACTGGGCAAAGTTGCACTAAAAAGCAAAGTCTGACGATTCTCACTCAGCTGAGTAAGAATTTGATGCAACTGTTCAGCAAAACCCATACCGAAAAGACTATCAGCTTCGTCAAAAACAACATATTCAACCGTTTTCAACGACATATCATCAATCTCAGACAAATGGTGCATTAGTCTACCAGGCGTTGCAATAATAATATCCGGGTTTTGCGCCAATTCCTCGAATTGATTCTCCATACTATCACCACCAACCAATAAACTAATCTTAAGATCTACACAACAAACAAATAAATATATTAAAAAAAAAAAAGATTATCCATCCACTCATAATTAAATTAGAAACACAATTAAAAACAAATAAATAAAATCAAGATAAAATTTTAGGAAAAACAAACCAGTGAATCTGCCAAGTTCTTTAGTGAATTTCAAAGTTTGCAAAGCCAAATCCCTAGTAGGCGACAATATGAGTGCCCGAACTCCACTTTGAGGCAGGTGCTGTTTTAACTTCTCTAACATGGGAAGGAGAAAGGCAGCGGTCTTTCCGGATCCAGTGCGAGCCATAGCGACGACGTCGATGCCGGCGAGGATAAGAGGCATGGTCTTGCGTTGGATAGGAGTGGGGACCCGATATCCCTTGCGCTTGATTCCTCGATAGACATTGGGACTTAGGTTAAGGGATTCGAAGCCACCGGATTTTTTTTCTTTTGGAGTTGTTGTTTGCGTTTAAGCTCTGCTTTCGAGCTTGCTAATGGTTCTCCGGCCATTGGAGTGAAGTCTCTGTTTTTTCAGTTGTTGTCTGTGTTTGTTCGAGTACAAAAACTAAAACCCTTGATTAGGGTATAGTTATAAGTTCCTTTCCGGTAACAGTGATTTGATTGACGATGCCAGTTTAGTCCTCGCTGTTAAACAAAACCCAATTTTTACCTTTTAGTGCTACCGACTAACAATCTAGCAACGATTAAATACTAGTCTTTTTTTTTTTTTTTTTTTTTTTTGGGTCTCTCGTTTCCCCATCGGTTAAGTTCATAACATAACCTAAAAGCATATGATGTTGATGAATCTTTTTTCTCAACTTGTGTATGATACTTCAGTTTTTAAAACAACGCAACTATATTATATATAGTACAAACATTTTGATAGCACATTTTATTGGCTTCCATAACCACTAAAGAAAAAAAATATTTTTCTTATAAAAACAAAATATCATAAATTTTCATAGATATATATATATATATATATGAGTAATCAGATTTGATCAAATTTACAAATAATTAATCTGGATTAAATCTAAACTAACTCGTATTTTAGAATTGAAAAAATTTAAGTGACGAAATGACATTTTTAGTCCATTTAAAACGGTATGGACTATGGATTACGGAACAAGACTCTTCACTGCTAATTAACAAATATGATTTATTGAGATGAATTTCTCGGGTGCCTGAATTAAGCATTAGAATAGGGTGTTCAACGACAAGGCTTCAAGCTTTAACCGTGGGTTTCAGAAACAGCCCGGCCCTTCAAGTAAAAAGGAAAACCAAAAAAAAAAGGGGGCAAAAAGAGATCGAAGTTGGCCTCGTGACTTTAAAAAAGCTGGCTCTTATCTATCGGCCGAAAGAAAAAGCCCATTTACTATTCTCGTGAGGCGCCAGTCTGGATGACGTGTAAAACCAAATGCGTGACGTTTGTTAGTTGGGATCGAACGAAATCCCACGTCGCCTAGTTACAACAACCAAGATGGAGCTCTTTATCACAAGATGCAGTCAAACAGATTTGTCTACTTCGAAGACATCTAATAAAATTGGAGTGACACACAGAAGATTAGCATGTCATATGTAGAAGGATGACGCGCACAAATTAATCTCATAACATAGTTTTTTTTTTTAATAAATATTTCTCTAATGTGGATTTTCTATTGTTTTTTTTATAGATCTTGTCTCTATATCTCGAAATTTTCTTAATACGGTTCATTCAAAAGTTTTTTGGTTAATTTTTCAAACAAACATCATACGTGACAAAATATTTAACACATATAATGCTATATTAGATAAAGTTGGCAAAAAAAAAAAAATCAAAAAATAATTGAAAAGAAAAAGAAAAGAAAAGGATTTTTTTCTCTCTCCTCTATTTTATATAACCTAGGATTTTTTTTTTTTGCAAATCGAAAAAACACAAACTATTCTTCATTGCAATTGCAATTATTTTCCAACGTAAAAAATGTGATTTTTAAAATCAATAATCAAAATTTAGTTAGGTAAACCTTGATTCCTTTAAGACCATCTATAAAATTCCTCCTATCATTATCACCTTAAAACTCTTCAAAATCAATCATCCTATCACCATCACCATCCAACCCATTAATAATCTTCGTGTACTTAGTCATTAAACAAAGCTCCTCAAACTAACGATTACTTTGTGCAATCTCGTTTGAAAATATACCCATTTCTAGAACTATCGTAAACGTAAAGAACATCTTTAATATTCAATAAAAGAAGTTTCAACAACACTCACGACAAGAATAGTTAAAGAAATAAACTTCAATCTTTTCCTAATTCAATTCAATAAAAATACACTATTATTAGCAACAAAAAGTTCTAATCTTTACTCAATTAAAGCATAACCTAGTTAAATTAACCTATATCAAAATGTCATTAATTATCTCGTTATTTTAAAAAATCAAATAATGACTCGTGATTAAAACAAAATTTACAAATTCACTTGTCGTGAAATACCAATATCTCCTATCGAAACCCACCAATCCAACCTACCACTTCAATCTCGATCAAGCTTCAAATTTTGTACTAGAACCATCACAAAGTCAACATATAACTATACATATCAACAATTAAATTAATTATCATTCGAATTTCCAACATCCAATAATCTTCCATATAACTATACAAATGTCATTAATTATCTATTATTTTTAAAAATCAAATCATGACTCATGATTAAAACAAAATTTACAAATCCACTTGTTGCAAAAATACCAATATCTCCTATCGAGAACGCACCAATCCAACCTATCGCTTCAATCTTGATCAAGCTCCAAATTTTGTACGAGAACTATCACAAAGTCAACATATAACTATACATATCAACAACTAGATTAATTACCATCCGAATTCCCAACATCCAATAATCTTCCATCTTTTATTAACCGAGTTAATTCTCTTTTCAAGACAAACAAGAAAATACCGTAGACAAGCAAGAAAAATAAGCTTGAAAAAAAAAAGCTTTTTTGGTGCATAACCTTTCAATTTTTTTTTTTTTTTTGTGCCCAACCGTTGATTTTTCATAGTTGACTATCAAAGTTTTGATTTTTTGTTTGTTTTGATACCTAAGTTCACTAGAATCTCGATTTTGTTGATGTGTCCAATGAGATCCGTCATATGACGACCAAAAATGCCATGTGGCGATCAACTTGCCATGTCGGACCTCATACTCTCATGTGGTTATAGGCACTAAAAAATAAAAATAAAAAAACATCAAAGGTTAGGCATTGAAATAGAAAAAAATTAAAGATTGGGTACCAAATATGTAATTTTTCAAAGAAATTTATTGTCTCGAGATTACGAAATTTGTCCAAGCAATTTCTAATAAATATTTCTCATATCATACTCGTGATAATTTTTTTACTTATCGATGATAATTTTTAGTACTCGTATCAATTAAAAATTATTTTTTAAAAATTCTTACATGTTTAAACAAATTTAAAATTATGTTATTTAATCCAAATATATACAAGGTCCAATTAAAATTAAATTTAGAAAAATAAAAGACATATAAGATTTAATTATGATTGCCATTTGTAAAACAACTTGTTGGTCATTAAAGAAAGTTATAAAAAATAAAAATTTCTTCGTCTCGTCTAAGGAGAAAATTGACTAACATATCGTGGGTGACATAACCTTACTGTAGCCAATAACTTGCTGAACTTCTTATAATAACTTGAGATGTGATAGAATCGATAAAAATAAATTTAGTGATCAAGCTTTTTGATTTAAGCTTTTAAAGTGTAATATTTTTTTGTAGTGATGATAGTAATAATAGAGATAATATGTAAAAAAAAAAAAAAACACACACACACACACACACACACATATGTATGTAAGCACAAAAAATGTATGAAATCTATTTATAATAAAGAAAAGATACATCGAGTACAAGAAGGGAATAAACATTTGGTGTGAGAAAACTAAAATAATTGTTTTGAAAAAACTATAATTTTGTTATCCGTTGATATATTTTTTTCTATTTAGGTGCCCAATCTTTAATTTTTTTTCTAATTTAATACCTATCCTTTGATTTTTTTTTTCCTATTTGAGTGTCCATAACTACATGAGAGCATATGGTGCTGACGCAACAAGAGGTTAACTCGCTACGTGGTAGGTCTCACTGGATACGTTCGTAAAATCGGAATTCGATTGAACCCGAGCACTAAAACAAACAAAAAATCAAAGCTTGGGTAGTCAACCAAAGGAAATCAACGGTTGGGCAATAAAATAGAAAAAAATTGAAAGATTGGGGACTAAAAAGCCTCTTTTTTTTAAAAAAAAAAATCAAATCATAACTCATGATTAAAACAAAATTTATTGATCCACTTATCGTGAAATACCAATATCTCCAATAAGAAACACATCAATCCAACCCACCACTTCAATCTTGATCAAGGCTTCAAATTTTGTATGATGACCATCACAAAGTAAACATATAACTATACATATCAACAAATAGATTAATTATCGTTCGAATTTTCCACATCCAATAGTCTTCTATCATCTATTAACAAGTTAATTCTCCTTTCAAGACAAATAAGAAAATACTATAGCCAAGCACGAATAAAAATAAGCCTTGTGTTTATTTTTTGCAATTTGAGCAATACAAAAAGAAAAAAGAGCTTTAATAAAGTTATTCATTAATTCAAATCTCTATAATAAAAGTCTCGTGATGTCATTGTTTTTATTTTGCTATATTTCAGAAAATTAACATGGATTCTAAAAATAAGATGAAATTATGAATTCATGTTGAATTTATATTTTCATTTCATTGTGTGGAGATGTGGAAGGATTGGATGGAAGGGAACAAATCAAGTCGATAATTTTTTCTCTTTAATTTCAATGTTTGCATTGTAGTGAATGTATTAATTTTTAAATAATAATTTGAGTTTGAAAACCTTATTTTGATTTCATAAAAGTATAAATGCAACTCCTACACTTCGAATTAGGCTTAACTCTATTTATATATAGTAACAAATAACTCACGGTTATTAGTTTTATTACGACAACAATGGTTATTTTTACTTACCGCAAATGAACTCGAATGCCTTTAGCTACAATCATTATCGCTTGCTATGAATGTGTTTTCAACATTTTCATCGCATGTAATAGATATCCCTATGTATGTAACGATTGTCCGATTGCAATATAGCACAAGTATCCAACAAGTCATCTCTAAGAAACGTGGGTTTGTTTTGTCTATTTGGAACGAAGAAACTATTTACTTGTTTTAAAAAGCTTTTGTACTTCTCTCAAGTTATTTGGATGATTTGCTTCATCTTGAAAGTTTTAGGGTTGAATTCTAATATATTCATTAATTGCACTCGTGAACTTTCACTAGAGCTGTAAGAGGCCATGTAAGATGGAGATCATGTCGCGTATGTGGATCGGCTTTGTTGAAAATCCGGCAAAGGTGCCAAAGCTGTATCACACTAATGCTAAAGCTGCCGTATCCGCTCGGTAATAATTACAATATAAGTATATAAAATTTCAATTTTTTCTCAATCAAGTAAATAAGCTTTAATTTTTTTCATTTGAATACATCAATTTTTTCAAAACTATCAATCAAGTATTTTAGTTAATTTTTTTGTTAACTGATGATGTATCCATTATCCTCAAAATACTAAATTATAATTTTACTTGTTTTCTCAATGAAGTACATGAACTTTATTTTTTTCAAATCGAGTACATTAACTTTTTCAAAACTATCAATCAAGTACTTTTGTCAATTTCTCATTTAATTGGTTACGTGTTCGAATAACAAATTATATTTTTTCTTCATTTTTTTTGTTATGAAGGAAATTTCTTCTTAAATTATTCTATCATCTTAAAATTTGAAAAAAATTAAAAATATAGATTTTTAATTATTAAATCTTGAACTAAACTTAGTAAGGCTTGCTATTAAAATAAATAAATCGGTTAGGTTTTGGGCATGAAAATTGAAGGAAATACAAACGTGATATTTTCATCGAGAAGATTCGTTTGTGTTTTTCTTCAATTTTCACTTTTAAATCCAATTGAGTTTGTTTTTTTTTTTTTTTTTTTTTTTTTACGGTAACCTAATTGAGTTTGGTTTGAAATTTTATAGATAAAAAATATTTTTAATTATTTTTCAAATTATAAAATAGTAAAATAATTTGAGGAGAAATTTTATTTTAACAAAAAGAGAGTAAAATTATAATTTCATATTCGAATGTGTCATCAATTAAGAAGGAAAGTGATGAAAATACTTGATTGATAATTTTGAAAACATTGTACTCGAGTGAAAAAAAATTAAAGTCCATGTACTCAATCAAGGAAAAAGATAAAATTATAATTTAGTATTTTGAGGTACTAAACACGTCATCAATTAACGGAAAAATTGACGAAGTATTTGATTGATAATTTAAAAAAAATTGATATACTCAAACGAAAAAAATTAAAACTCATGTATTTGATTGCAAAAAATTTAAAAGTTAGTATACTTATAATATAATTATCCCTATCTCCTTCATTTGCTAAATATTAAGCTTATAGCTATAACTAAAGATAAACCAGATGCTTGTACAAAAAGATCTTACAAAGGTAAAGCAAAAGGTTTAACTAAACAATGAGCAGCAGTAGCCTACAATCGACCATTTCCTTGTAAAAAGTTGGCTATATCTAGCCAAACCACTCTTTTCCTCTTCTTTTTTCTCCTAGAGCAATTCTATTTGTTTATCATCAATTTTCCCTCGTCTCACTGTTTAGCCAAGCAAGCTTTAATTAGGGATGGTAGTGAGCTAAGTATAGGATAAAAAGCAAATATCTACATTATCTAATTCCATAAATATTCATTAAAAATATCTAATAGATATTGAAGTAAGGATAAAAAAAATATTCATACCTACTAATATGACTTTTAGGTTCTGTTTGGTAATCGAAATAGAGTAATATAGATGAAAATGCGAGAACTTGGAATGAAAATTAAGGAATCGGAATGACATTTGTATTTTCATAATTTGTTTGGAATACTAATGAGGAATCGAAATGCAATTTAAATTTTTTAATAACTGATTTTTTATACAAATAAAAATAATGATTAAAAAAATAATTTTATCAAGCTATAATGGTTGTAAAAATAATAAATGCGGTGGCGATGGTGGTAAAAATAGTTAATAAGTTAATAAATAAATAAAACATATTATTATTTTGAAAAAAAAAATCATTCTCATTTCTTGTTTTTATTTTCACATCTTATATGAGAATGAAGTTGTGTGTAAATTTTCATTTTCATTCTCACTTCATTCATTTTAACCAAACAAGTTGTAGTGTAGTAATAAAATTTTCATTCTCATTCCCCATCACTTTATTCTTGATTACCAAACATCACTTAATTAGAATATAGACATTCAATTTATATCCTAATAATAACCAATTAATTTTTTCTTTTTTTTGAAAAAAATTAACATACAAAAATTTGATTGCACAAACTTTATAAAACAAAGATCAAAAAATTTTAAAGAAAACTTTGAGAACCAAAAATTTATAAATAAAGAATTAAATTGTAAAAATATATTAATTTAAGGTCCGAAACAACTTTTTTAAAAATTACAAAGACTAAAAATTAATTGTTTTGACAGATTATTTTTGACAAATATAAACATAAACCAAATATAGACCAAGTATGAGTTTTCTTTAACATATAGGATAAAAATAAATTAATTAATGAATCAGATACTCTTCCTAACCTCCGATGGACATATTTATTGGGATCAATGCCACTAGACATAGCATTTTGTACTAACTAGCTACTTTGCTAGAGCTACAAGGGATATGCGCCTATACGTTTTACTTGATTATCAGCTCCAAAAAAGAGCTTTTGATCCATTGGAATTTGTATATAAACATCTTCAATGCGCACGTGATGCTCTGGAATTTTCTCTTTTTTGGGTACAGTGGTATGAGGTGTAATTTGCAAGTAAAACGTAGATTCTTATGGCTGTTAAACATGTTCTGATTTCTTAAAGAGTCCCCTGTTCACACTCTCTAAGTTTGCAGAAAGATCATCATATAATAGAAAAATACTAATTGGATATCTTTATGAAAATCTTATTGTTTTAAATTAATGAAAATCAAATTTATTTGTTGAGCAAGCTCGTTTGATTTATATGTATTTATTAACAAAATAATCAATAACATTAGCATAAAAAATTGTATTTGAATAATTGAAAAATTCTTTTGAAACATTATTTCAATTATTTTATTTACAAAATATTGATTTTAGAACATAAAAAGAAATAAATAACAAATAACTAATGTTATGTGTATAAATACATAATTAATTTCTAACAAAACTAATATATATATATATATTAATCATATTTTGTAGATTTAGATTATACGAGTATAAACAAATTAAAAAAAAAACTATCTAAGTTGTATTGAATATATTAAAGTCAATAAATTAAAATAAAAACTACTACAAAATTGATTCTTATAAATTTTAATTTTTAATTTATGACAAAAGAGATTCTTGAATTGTAAATTAAATTATAAATTAGTTCTTCTCATCTTGAAAAAAGAATGAATTAATTATTTTGGTTTCAAAAATAAATTATTTAATTTTTTTTAATTAGTGTTGTCCACAAATAATTTATTTTTTATTTTAAAAATGTCTTTTTTATAAATATATTTTACTTTTTTTAATTCTTTCTCTATTTCTTAAAAAAAATAATAAAAACATTGATAGTTTTTGAATTGAAGGGACTAATGGTGTTATGCATGCGGATACATAATTAATTTTTAACAAAACTAATGACATATATATATTATAATCATAGTATAAACAAACATTTTTAAAAAAACTATTTAAGTTGTACGGAATATATTAAAGTCAATAAATTGAAATAAAACTATTACAAAATTGGTTTCCATTAATTGTACTTCTTAATCAATGATGAAAGAGATTCTTGAATTATAAATTATTATAAATTGGTGCATCTCGTTTTGAAAAATGAATTAGTTAATTATTTTTTTTCAAAAGTAAATTATTTAATTTTCTTAATTAGTGTTGATCACATATAATTTATTTTTTTATTTTATAAAATGTCTTTTTTTCTTCATATTTTTACTTTTTTTTTAATTCTTTCTCTATTTCTTCAAACCAAAAATAAGAACATTGAAATATAAAAAAAGGACAAAAAAAAATTAGATTTTGAACCAAATAGACTAATTAATTTGTTTCTTGAAGAAAGACGGACTAATTTGTAGTCACTCTCGAATAACAAATGGCTTTGGCTTCCCGTCGAAAATAAGAAGAAAAAACATTGAAAGAAGACGAGGAGCATTAAATTCTCAATCCGAAAGAGAAGGAAATGACGAAAAAAAGGCCCAAAAAGAAAATTAAAAAGAGAATTAGTCAAAGGTAAAAAAAAAAAAATCTCTCAAATCTATCGAGTTGTAAAAGAGAAATTAACGAAAAGGTATGGGGGTGAAAAATCAAGCAACACAATGAACAATAAATCTAAATCTAAAACAATAGTAAATGAATAGTAAATATCTCGAGTTCTTTTCTTTTTTTTTCTATTAACATATATTAAATAAAAAATAAAAGATAAATTTTTTATTTAATTTCATAATTTTAATCATATTTTACCTTTCATTTGTGCTTCTTTATGTTTTTCATATATTTTGTTATTAAAAAAACATGATTCGGTTTTTTATTCATTTGTTCTTAAATAAAAACCTACAATAATATAAATATAATTTTTTGAAAATATCTTAATATTTTTTATAAGATACATCGAAGAAATATATCAATAATTAATATAAAAATTTGTATAAAAATTAACTTATGAATCTTTTTAAACATTTTAAAAACATGTACATTTGATATACAAGCACACACACGTACAAAACAATCAATAATATTAGGTATAAAAATATGTATTTGAATTATTAGATGGTTCTTTTAAAATATTATTTTATTTAAAATAAAATAAATTTGTAATATTAAAAATAATTACTAGGAAATAGTTGGTGTTATATGTGTAGATGCGGAATTAAGTTTTAATAAAATCAATAATTTCAATACGTTTTTTTGTATACATCATTACCATACTCTATACAAATTAAAAAATATATTTAAAAAAGCCTAAGTTGTAAGAAATATATTAAAGTTAATAGAGTGCAATAAAAATAATTTAAAATTTTATTAAAAAAAATGATCATATCTAGAATAAGGTAAAGAAACATGTGAATTCTATCATTTATTAAAAAAACATATTAAAAATTTATACATAGAGAAAGATAAATCATATTTATTAACAAATAAAATTTTATAGAAAAATAAAAAATCTAATTTGATGAGAATTTTTATAATAAAAGACAAATTTAAGAGATTAATTTTAATCAATAAAAAATATAATCCGATATATGTGTTGGTTCTAAAATCTAAAAATATAAAAGGCCAAAAACATCTTTTAAAAATATGAGAAACAAAAAAATATATTTTGAAAAAATGCTAGACAAAAATGGACCGAGTTTAAAACAATAGCAAATGAATAGAAAATATCTCGGTTCTTTTAGTTTTTTTTCCTACTAATATATATTAAATTAAAAATAAAAGATAATTTTTTTATTTAATCTTATAATTTTTAATCAAATTTTGTATTTAATTCGAGCGTCTTTATGTTTTTCATATATTTTGTTGTTAAAAAAACAATATTCATTTTTTTTATTGATTCGTTCTTAAATAAAAACCTAAAATAATATAAATATAAAATTTAATATAGATTTTTAAAAAATATCTTAATAGTTTTTATAAGACTACATCGAGAGAAATATATCAATAATCAATATAAAAAATTGTATAAAAATTAATTAATGAATCTTTTAAAACTTTTTTAAAATATGTACATTTGATATATAGATACACAAAAAACAATCAATAATATTAGGTAGAAAAACATATATTTGAATTATTAGGTGGTTCTTTTAAAATATTATTTTATTTAAAATAAAATAAATTTAGAATATTAAAAATAATTAATAGAAAATAGTTGGTGTTATCTTTACGGATGCATAATTAATTTATAATAAAATCAATGATATCAATACTTTTTGTATACATCATTATCATACTGTATACAAATTAAAAAATATGTTAAAAAAAAACTTAAGTTGTAAAAAATATATTTAAATTATCAAAGTATAATAAAAATAATTTAAAATTTTATTCCAAAAAAATTGATTATATCAAGAATAAGCTAAAAAACCACATGAATTCTATTCTTTATTAAAAAAACATATTAAAAATTCATATATAAAGAAAGATAAATCATATTTATTAACAAATAAAATTTTATAAAAAATGAAAATATTAATTTGATGAAAATTACTATAATAAATGATAAATTCAAAAAATTAATTTTAATCAATAAGAAAATATAATTCGATATATGTGTTTGTTGTAAAATTTAAAAACATAAACGACTGAAAACATCTTTTAAAAATACGAGGAAAAAAAATATATTTTGAAAAAATATAAGACAAAAATGGACTAAGTTAAAATCATGAGATGCCAAAATATTTTTAAAAATATGAAGATTTAAAAATACATTTTGAAAACATAAGAAGCAAAAAAAGAATGAAGTGTAAAATTTGAAAATAAATGCTAAAAAAACCTATAAAAAAAATTACAAAAAATACCACTATAAAATATTACAAAATTACCACTAATAAATAGTGAAATAAGACAAATAAACAATAACTAAACAGTATTTTACTGTTTATCTGTCACAGTTCTTATAGTTTTTCACCTAACTTAATGGTCCGTGTGAACCAAATTTGGATCCGTTTCACTTTTCACTTCCTGCGTAAATGGTTTTCTTGGACTAATTAATCAAGACAACGGTAAACCTCCTGATGAGGCCAATTTCCAACGTTAAGGTGAATTGACAGCAAGAAACCGATCGACAGACAGAAGTGCATTAATACATCAACCAGGACCAGCACCCAGAAAATTCAGCTGCTAGCCTCCAACAGTTTTCGACGAACTAACACTCTATCCAAACGAATGGCTAACAAATGCGCTAGTAGAAACTTCTCTCTCTGACTGGGATGCTACTTAATGGCTCTTAAAAATCCACAAAATAAACAAAGATGGACTAAAATACAATTTGATCTTGGGTATAATTAAAATGTTGGCATCACTGCAGTGATAAATTAGGACTTTGATGTGTCAGCTTATGAGTTGTCAAATCTGACGACAACACAGGTAATGTTGTCAGAGCTCCCACGTGCATAAGCTTCTTGTATTAATTTTCTTGAGGCTGCTTCTGCATCTGTTATGTCCTGCACTAGAGCTACTGCATCCTGAAACCAGATAAGCTACTACCACGTTAACATGCACATTCGGTTAATATTGACTTTATACTTGTGCAGCAAAGTTATTTCAATCTTATCCCGAACTAAAAAAGAACATAACATGTTTTCAAACATCTGTCATCCATGGCATCGAGTATGGATTTACTACTAAGATAAGATCCTACTGCCAGAATTCATGATTCTCACAAATCCTAACCGAATCTTCCATAGCAAGAGGCTTTTCTAAGAGGGAGGCATCCCTTTTGACAGACAAACAGCATCCTAGCCAACACAATCACTGCCTTACCAATCTATACCTAGGTTCAATTTTTGCTGGTCTGGGTCGATGTTCATGTAATCCTCCAGAAACGCAATCCTACGGTGACTTCCTCTAGAATGGCAGACTAGCATACATAACTGCATGCCTTTTGAACAAAGATATGGCAGGTGCGTCCATAACACTCGGACAAATTAAATGCCCATTTCATTAATTTCAAACTTCAAAATCGCTATTCCCTCCATGAATTTTCAGTGATAGTACACACACACACACACCCCTGTAATTGCTATTAACAGCACCCCCAAATTTCCACCATCAATAAGAGATTGGTTTGAGGACCAACTGAGAGTCTAATGGTTCCTTGGGTACCATAAATTAGAACAAAGGGGGCACAGAATGGGGGGCAAGTGGTAATAAATAGAAAGGGCACAGTGTTCCCTCTGTGTTTTCAGGACATCCAGGAAGGAGGAGGGGAAAAGAACCAATTACCGAGTCCAAGAGGCAAACAGACACGCTCTTATCAACTGGAGACACAGGATATCTCATCCCAGCTGTTTAACACTAGTAAGGAGACACAGGATATCTCATCCCGGCTGTTTAACACTAGTAAAGTACACTTCCCGCATGCACGTGCACCTAAAAATAAAATTCGATCATACCTAGTCCCCCCACACCCCCAGATGCACATGCACCGTGTGCATACTCAGAGCTTTTAGATACAAATAACACTCTTAATGCTTAGTGATAGGAAAGACTAAAAAAGAATTTTAATTTTCATCAGAACCTTGTAAGAGCAGAAAAGCCTAACCTTATTTGATAGGACATTCCATAGCCCATCACTTGCAACAATTATAAATTCTACACCATCAATTTCTTCTTCCTAAAAATTGAAACAAGAACAACGATGAGTGACATGGAATTGAACAAGAGAAGCAAACTGACATGTAATAATTGTAAAGTCCAGTTTCCCTGCAATAAGATCTCGCATAAAAACAGCAGGAACCAGCAAAATGATTATTTTTGCTCCTAAAACTACCTGAATTTCTGGCTCAGCAACAACATATGGCTTAAGTAGCTTATCCCCAAATGCACGAGAAACAGCAAGCACACCACCCACCCGCCATGTTCCTAGCAATTTTAGCAAAATGTTATAACGAGATTAAGCATAAAAATTATATCAGTGGCATATAATAAAATCATTTGTCTTCCGTCCCACTAAATGCCAGCACAAGCAAAGCTTTCTCCTCCCAACTTGTACTGGTTATGAAAATTTTGAATTAAAAATGGCTCCAAATTATAAATTCTAAAAATAAATCAAGGAAAAAACCGATCGTTTGGGACCCACATTCAAGTAAAAAACAAAAAAAGGCCAACACATTAAAAGAGCTTGAAATTATGTTTCTACATGTAAAAGCAAGAGCATACACAGCCAAGTTCACTGCCAAGATCTATAAACCAACTTAATATTAAACCTTCACTAAAAAAACTCTGGAAAGTTTTTGAGTTTAAATCATAGAAGTAAATAATCAAGCAAAACAGAGTTTTAGCAGTTCATCTCCAGTCTCCTGAGAAACTAAGAGATAGATAGAAATTTAAGTTCACTTAACTAAAAAAAAAAATCACCCACAGACTGAAATGGCATTATTGCATATCTTGACTGACGTAATAACAATTTGTATCCACGGGGAACTTCATTCTGCACAAGCATGCAACAAATTGCAGATGAAGGAATGATAAATGAATACATATTACTCAAGATGATTGAGTTTCACCTGCCCATATGATGAAACCTCCAGCCTCTTCGATTCTTTGGCGTTCATCAGATCTATCAGGTTTATGATCGATAGACAATGGGATAGCTACAAAATAACAGTTATACAAGATACAAATACAGTTCAGAATTTTAATTCTTCACTACCCTTCATCTAATAAAACTCTTTTAAGTTACAAGCAAACCTTTAGAACTCTTTCATTAAAAAGACCTCATAAAAGTAATTTTCTGACCTGAACCAGCTCTACAGGCAACAACTCGAGAATCGCCAACATTTGCAACAAGCAACCGGTCCCCTAGAAGCACAGCAGTTGATGCAGTTGACCCGGCGTCTTTATGATGGACTTTGTCTTCATGGAGGTAATCTGCATCTGTCTGTTTAAATGCTTCGACTGCAATAACAAACTAGTTATGAACACCAGGGTATATTGAACTCATTCAATACACAAAATTTATAGCAGAATATTACATACCAATAGCTGTCTTTGTGTCTCTGATAAAATCAGGGTGGCTACTTAAATTCTTGAAAAGGTTATTTTTTAGATATTCTGCAGTTCTAGCACCTCCGTGACCTAAATAAAACACAATGAGCAAGTACCCATTAAATTCAAAACACAAAAAATACTCTTAATTTGATGGATAGAAAAGAAACAAGACAGAAACAAAATGAATTTAGAAAATGAAAAGCTAAGGCATATATACCATCAAAAACACCAAAGAAGGCAACCATTTGACCATCAACTTCAGAAATCCTTGTCTCATAAAAATCCTCCATGGAAGATCTTTTACCCTTAAAACTCGAATATCCATAACTAAATTTGGCAGTTCGGCTTCCATTAAGACAGCTACAAACCAAAACAACTGACTTAAAAATATATACTTCAATTTTGATAATCTAGTATTCAAAAAGCCACATCTCGAATGGAACTAGTTCAAAACCCAAAAGTAAGAGCACATAAAGAAAAAATTGCAAAGATAAGAATCTAAGAGAAGGAGAGGAAACCTGATGCCGCCGCCGCTAAAGAGGGCATCAGGATCTCTAATAGAGATCATAATGTTTGATTTTTGCGAAATTGAAGATTCTGATGGATGGGGTGGTGACGGTGACAGCAGTGGAGGCTGAGCATCGACGGCATCCCCGACGGGAGGAGGAGGAGGAGAAGTGGAGTCCGTCAGATTGATTGATTGGTTAGTTTGTTGGAATAATTGACAAAAGAAAAGTAAATGAAATAGAGTTAGTGGTGGTTGTTATCAGTATAGATAGATAGTGGAAGAATCTGTAAGTAAATAATAGGAGTAAGTAACTGTTACTTTCACTTTTTAAGATGAAAAGAAGGAAAATGCATCTCATCATCTCATCCCATCTCATCACATCTCATCCATCTCTTGCTGCCGCATTTTTTTCTTACATCCACTCCAGCCTAGGTGGGCCCATTTCCAGTTGTTGGACTTGGGCCCTTTTTGTGGGACTGGCAGTTGCCGGTTTGGATAAGTGGGGTACCACCTGTTTGGGCTTCTCTGTCAGATGTGGTCTTGGACGGAAAATGCAACTTGAAACTAACCGGTTGCTCAAGATTTTTGGGATAAGCCAGATGGCTACTGCTATAATCATTTGGCACTGTGGATAAATAATGCCTCGATTGAGATATGAAAATCCAAACGAAATGAAATTTTAAAAAATTACTTGGTTTTTTATGCATGAAATTTGCTACTATAGGCTAAAATCGATTTTGCCTTTAACTAAATCAAAAACAAAAATATAGTTTTGATATGGTTTGAGTTATTATCTAAACTATAAAATAAATTAAAAATTAAAAATACACTATACAATTTTTTTTTAATCAAAATATCATTGAGACAGTTTACATCTCAATCGAAATTAAATATTTTTTCTTATTGATTTTGAAAGAACTGATTTTTTTTTCTTGTTTTTACATGATCTAGTGTTTAAAAGAATAAATCCATTAAATACCAAATGTAAGATTCAAACTCAAAAAAGAATTCTGAAACACCAAATCCACTTTTGAAGTTAGAATTTGGAATGTAGTACAGATTAAACTGTCATAACTCCAAACAAAACCACGGCATAAATAAGTTCACCTTATTTTCGTTTTTAATAACTGGTTGAAGGAATTTGGTAGTGAAAAATCAATAAATTCACATAATGATCTTAATAGGAAGTGAATAATTGCGACGATGCTGGTGTGGAATGACAATGACAATGGTAATAATGATTTTGGTAATGATGATAGCAGTAATAGCAATGGCAATTGCGATAATGGTGGCAGAAAAGGTTAATATTGGCAGGATAGGAGGACTATTCACAATGAAGCTAATAATTGTATTGTGGTTGTAGTTATATCGGCACCAATAATTAAGCTAATCAAACAATAGCGTTTGGGCCCTTATTGATTTTAAGGCGGTGGATGAAGGATAGAGGCTTAACTGGAGCCGAAATAAGATCATACAAAAAAGCCAGAACTATTCAGCACATGAAAAAGAGAACCTTGGGCCCCAAATTTTAAAAAATAAGGATCGCTTTCAACATTCAACTGATAAATAATTGCAGGCGCCCGAACTTGCATGAGAAATAGCTAATTTTGTAAATTACACTGGGCGTATACAGCTTATATGACTGGAAGATATGCTCGAGTTCTGAGAGGCTTGGGTTCTTCCTCGGAGACTTGAGCACCGAACGATGCGCTCATATTTTGTTGCATTTCTAGTTTACCCCCCATATTCTTTCCCCTTTATGTTCCCAAATTCTAGTCCTTGTGTTTTTCCTTTTAGCCTACTTTATCCGCAACAGGGGGCGGGAATAAGAGAAACTCATGGCATATAGAAGGGACATAAACCTGGTCAAATGATGGAAAGAAACATAAATTGCACCAAACAATATCAATTTTTTTTTTTTTACTTAATGGACAGCTTAATGTTGAAGGTCGATGTAAATCACAATATTATATAGACGAGGACAGGAAAACCAGAGGCTACTCGACAAAGACAGTAGCAAGACTTCAACCATGCAATTACCATGAGCAACAACTATTGGTTGTAGCATCCTCTGGAGGCTTCTGTTTGAAGATGTTCTTTTTCACACCACTAGAGCCTTCAGCCAACAAACTAGGCGTTTCCAAGATCTGCATATAAACATAATGACATCATCACCTCTCATGATTAGCATCATGATGAAAGAAAACACATGGACTATGCTGATATATGAACACACACGGTTTGACCATCCGAAGTTCTACACATGCATGCAGAAAGTTCCATTTTGAAAGAATGAAATTCTGCTTTCTGATGTTAAAGAAAACGTGATGGAATACTCAATTTCAAAGCACCATTTTAAAAGAATTAGATGATATATTTCTATTGATTTGTATCACATGAAAAAAGACTAAAAATTCACTCAAAAACAACAAACATGATTTGTAGATTTTCAACTGAAACAGAAAATATGTAACGCAAAGTTAACACAGTAGCAACTGATTGATCAGAAAAGGGAATACATGCGGCATCAACTGTAATATTCAAAGTTTCAAATTAAAAAAGGTCCAAACAAACCTTCCTTTCCCAACAAAAGCAAGAATTTTTATGGATTAGAAAACAAAGAAAAACTATGGGAAAGGTGCTAGAATTTCGTTTACCTTTAAAACAAGCTCCTCGAAACATTGCTCCACATTGACTCGAGTTTTTGCACTACATTCAAGAAAAAGGCATCCATATTCCCTAGCAAAGTCAATACCCTCTTTTTTGGCGACAACCCTTTCACTCTCCTGTAAAACATAGAGTATCGCTTAAATGCCGATATATACATTAATATGAGAAAAACTTTTGATATGGTTACCCATAGGAAAGAAACGTGCTTGATGATGTTGTATTTAAGAAGCATTGACAAATTATAAGACGATTCAGAACCATACTTATAGATACATGCATGCATGAACACTTATTACATATATAAATTGTGTGCGCATGGGAACAATTTGAATGATATTGAAACATTGAAAAGGTTCTAAATTCATCCTCATCTAGACTGAGAAAAGTGAAAAAATAGTAGATTCTCATCACACCCTCCATAATACAAGTAACTTGCAGTACATTTTTTTTTAAAAGATACATACCTTATCGACTTTGTTTCCAACAAGCATCTTGATGCAATCCTGATTTGTTGAGTACAAATCAATTTCCTTTGCCCATATTTCTGATAGATTTGTAAATGTTTCTCGCCGTGTTACATCATACACTACCAATTTCAAAGACAACAACATTAAGCAAGAGCAGCAAGATAAGAATAACAACACCACTGAATTGAAACCAAAAGACATCGATAAGTAAACTACTTATAATCACTCCCTAGGTCAAAGCGATGAATAGATCCAATTACATAGAGAAATGATACATGACAGTAGAGTGAAAAATCAACTCCACTTGGATAAGCTTTAAAAAGAAACCATGTAGGAACATTTAAGGGTTAGGAAAGTAAAAAAAGACAAAACATAAGGGAGGGATAAACAAGGTGAAACCAAATACCCATAATTATCCCTTGAGCTCCTCTGTAGTAAGAACTAGTTAGAGTTCTAAACCTCTCCTGTCCAGCTGCAGGATGAAAAAAAGAAGAAGGAAAATTAATCTTTATAAACCCAATTACCCAAGCAAAACTGTAGTCTGCCACTCAGAGAGAGAAAAGTCTGTTATAATCAGAGGAACTGTTATTCCCTGGTCAAAAATATCTCCAGATCAAGATGCATAAATCAACCATGGCCAATCTCTCTGTTCTGATAACAGCATTACAAAAAAAAACCAATTCTAATCTGATTAAACATTTAAGAAAATAAATCATTAACAAACAAACTCTTACCTGTGTCCCAAATAGCAAGTTTCAACTTCTTCCCACCTAGGGTAACATGCTTTACCTTAAAATCCACACCTACAAAGCTTACAAAACATCAGAACAAATCATAGTGTAATATAGTAAAACTAATTTTACAAATAATGGGCCAATATTCCGAAACCTAAAAAATATATATATATATAACATTGATACAAAAATAAGTTTCTGAACATAAAATCACATATTCAAGAAACACAATTTCTTCCCCATTAATCATGTCAGTTTGGTTTTACTTACAAAAAAAAAAAAAAAAAATCATATTCAATTTAATGAAAGAAACGAGACATATAAGCTGACCAATGGTAGGAGAAAGATCCTCAAAATTATTGGAAGTGAAACTCAAAAGCAGAGTACTCTTTCCCACACCAGAATCCCCAATCAACAACAACTTGAACAAGTAGTCAAACTCCTGTTGACTCGTCGACGCTACTTCCATTATTATAAAATACAATACCCGGATAACAAAAACATAAACCCTGAAAAAAAAAAACATCAATGCATAGCCTCAAACAAACATCATTAAAATAATCAGACGAAAACATGTGCATATAGACAGAGAGTTGGTACCTGGGAATTGGTGAGAACTGAGAAGAGAAGGTTAGGGTTAGATCTAAGGTTGCTGTTTTAGAGAGGAAGTTTTATTAAAAAAAAAAAAAAAAGAAAGAGAGAGAGAGAGAGAGAGAAAGGAAGGTATAGGAAGATTGCAGAAAGGCAAAGAAAGCTCTAAAGTCTTCTTCTTCCTTTTCCTTTGCTATTATAATGTAAGTTGTAATGGCTGGTTTTTCCCTTTCATTACACCGATTGATTGCTTACTCTTGCAAGTCAAGGTTGGTTTTTTTTTTTTTTATATATATATTTGTTATGGTGGCACTAGCAATATATTCTTACGCTGCGACTTAGATTTTCTAGCCGTTCGATGGTGATTGTCTTTGTGATGACATATCTGATATCTGAAGTGCTAACCCTTTGTTTATTCGGCTTTAAAAAAGAATGATAATTCAGGAATCTAGATTATAAATTTTGTGGGCCAGATCTGGAGATTCTTTGAGAAATAGATCTGAGTTGGGTTGGGTTGTGTTGCTTCTAGACTTCCGTCACCTATGGCCTGGGCCCTGGGCTAAATTTTCTTCGTTGAGTGTCTTCTTAGTCTAAATCTAAATAAACAAAAAGGAAATCTGGTTTATAAATGGGTTTAGGCTCCTTGTTAATGACATTTCGTTTTGTGGGACAGATCTGATTTTTTCTTTCTTTGTTTTCTTTTAACATAGTTTCTTTTATTTGTGTTAATGGTAATGATGGTTTGCTTTCTTCCATAATTTTCCGAGTTTAAATCTTAGGATCGGTACTCAAAAAATTTATTAATTTCTTTGAATGCACTAGACCAATGCAAAAGTGTGTTTTTCAAATTATTTGAAAAAAAAACTTAGTCCTAGTTAATATGCAAACTAATATGAAAATACTATTACTATTCAATAAAAAATAACATAATAGTAGAAAAAAAATATAGTTTGAATCTCAATAAACATTTGAATTTCAACATCGGTTATCTTACATAATGAGATAGTCCTTCTCAATTAGTAAGTTCAATCACGTATTTTCTAGTATCTTATGTAAGACCTTCAAATAGAATTCTAGAATCTTAACCATTAAAGAATTCATTTAAAAACGTAATCGGCTATTACACATTATTGAGAAAACAAATTGTTTATACGGCTCGATTGCAAAATATGTTTTTAAATGGTTATACATATGGATCATGTGCTTTTCAAATTTTTTTTTCAAATCTTTGCTCTTTTTTTGGCTTGACAATTGAGACCCAATATTATTCAAGATTTTTTTATTTCGGACTCTCTATCATAACGTCATCAATCAACGATTGACACGTTATATCTACTCTTCAATAGTTTTTACTTTACAACACTACATTTCGATCATTGATTGATAACATTATAACGAAAAGTTTAAAACAAGAACTCTTGAAAGATAAATAGTCTCGATCAAGTAAAAAAATCAATTAAGTAAGAAAAAAAATAGAGGATTTCAATCTAAATTTCTATGTTATAATAATTGATTACAAATGCGTGAAAAAATTTCCATTGCCATTTTGTAAGGTAATCCACATAGATAGAATTAAAGCGAGGGCATGAAATGTTTAAGTTTGTCACCACACTATTTTTAGTTCTATACTTATTTATCTTAGATTTTTGCTCTAATAACAAAAAAAATAAAAAATAAAAATCATCACCACAGTTTTTAGTCCTATAGCCTAAGTCTTGTAGCATTTGTTAAATGTTAACCTCAAATTGACTAACATAACTTCAAAAGATATAATATCTTTATTTGTATTGACATAAATTTTAATAATTTAAATTTGATTATTTATAACTAACTCAATTGAAAAGTTCATTGTCACAAATTTTGAAATCAATCATCTATTGTAGCACAAAAATTTATTTTAGTTATGTTCAAGAATATTAATTTATCTTTGAATTGTGGCATGAGCAATTGTTGTTTTGAGAATGGTTTAGTTTCTATATTGGTGTTTATGTTAGTTAAAGTCTTAGGCATTTTAACCTCTTCAATACCAACACGTTGGAAAAAATAAGAAGTTTTGTTCATATTTGAACCTTCTATTTTTCAAATTATTTTGATTGAAATAATGTATTCTTTTTTGTATTGATTAAGATTCTCTACGCTTTATTTTGTATTGTTTAAAACCTTTCGTTATGACACCATCGGTTGTAAAGCGACGTCACAATGACATAGTACTTCTACTTTTAAATGTATGACATGTGTCAAACATGGGATCTCGATTTAAAAAAAAAAAAAAAAACATATAAGGGCTTCATTGTACAAACCTTAGAAGTAGGGACCAAGATGTTTTTATGAAAACTTTAAGGATTAAAAATATAAATAAAGGACCAAATTATATATATATATATATATATATATATATATATATATATATATATATATATATATATATATATATATATATATATATATATAAACATTTAATCATCTAATACAAACAAATATTCACTATAATCATGATCGAAGAGATCAACTTATCTTTATAAATTGATACAAGCAATTGTTATTTTGAGAGTGGTTTAATTTCATTTTTGTTGTTGTTTGTGTTAATTATGGATTTAGGCATTTCAACCTCTTCAAAACCAACTCAATTGAAATTTTTTTTAAAAAAAATAGTGTAATGTATTTATAATTGTCACCTAATCTAAACTCAATAAACATCCACTTTAAATATTGTCTAAATCTCAACATACTAAAACACCGATAACTAACTATTGGTTTCAACTAAAACAAATTTAGAATATGGTATTGTTGTTTGTGTTAGTTGTAATTTAATTATCCCGACCATTTCATAACTAACTCAATTGAAAATTTGTTGCCATAAATCTTGGAATAAACCTTCTAATCCGGACAAATATATGCTTTAACTATGATTGAGAATAATTTATAACTAACTCAATCGAAAAGTTGGTCGCCATGAATCTTGAAATCAATCATCTAATGCAAACGAATATTCACTTTATTTATGATCGAGAATATCAACTCACTTTTGCATGGTGGTATGAACAACCGTTGCCTTCGAGTGGTTTAATGTCTTTGTTGTCGTTTATGTTAGTTATATTCTTAGGTATTTTAACTTCCAAAAAATCAACTTAATTAGGAAAAAAAATAATGGCACGTATCTCATAATTGTCACCAATTCTAGACTCGACAAATATACACTTTAAATATAACTAAAATCTCAAAATATTAAAACACGAGTATCTAATTGTTAGTCTCGATTAAACAAAAATTAAGATACAATAATGCTCGCTTGTGTTAGTTGTAATTTAATGATCCTATCCACTCCATAACTAACTCGATTGAAAAATTTATTGTTATAAATATTAGGATCGATCTTCTAAGCTAAGCAAATATTTGCTTTAATTAGGATTGAGAGGAGTTTATAACCAATTCCATTGAAAAATTTGTTGTCGCAAATCCCGAAATCAATAATCCAATGAAAACAAATATTCATTTTAATTATAATAAAAAATATCAACTTATCTTCATAATGTGGCATGAGCAATTGGTGCTTTAAGAGTGTTTAATTTAATTGTTGTCATTTGTGCTAGTTAATTCTTATTCATTTTAAGTTTTAACATCCTCAAAACCAATTAAACTATAAAAAAGGTGACATATATCTCATAATTTTTGCCTAATTTAGACTAAAAAAATATCCATTTTATATTAACGATTCAAATATCATTAACTAAAGCACCACTAACTAACCGTTAGTCTTAACTAAAATAAATTTTAAATACAATAGCTGTAATTTAATTATCCTAACCACTTCATAACTAACTCAACTGGAAATTTTGTAGCCATAAGTATTGGGATAGATTTCTAATTCAGAAAAATATTTATTTTAACTATGATTGAAAATAAATCATAACTAAGGCATCCGGAAATTTCCTTGAAATCAATCGTCTAATGCAAATAAATATTCACTTTAGTTAATTGAGAATATCAATTTATCATTTTATTATGATATGTGTAATCTGCTGTTTTGAGAGCTTTTCAATTTTATTATTGTTGTTTATGTCGGTTATATTCTTAAACATGTTAGCCTCCTCAAAACCAACTCAATTGAAATAAAAATAAAAATAAAAAGAATACTACATATCTCATAATTATCACATAAAATAGATTCAACAAATATCAAATATAAATATGACTTAAATCTTAAGATACTAAAGCACCATTAACTAACTGGTAGCTTCCATTAAAACAAATTTAAGATACAATATTGTCGTTTGTGTTAATTATAATTTAATTATTCTCGGCATTTCATGACTAATTCAATTGAAAAATTTATTACTATAAATCTTAAGATTGATCTTCTAATCTAGATAAATATGTACGTTTAACTATTATTAAAATTCTCAACTTACCTTTGTATTTTATTACAACAGTTTTATTTTGTTTTGAAAGTGGTTAAACTTTAGTTATAGTTGTCTATCTTAATTATAAACTTGGGCATGCATTTAATCTTCCCTATAACCAATCCAATGAAAAAATTTATAGCCACAAATCTAATAATTGCCACATAATCTTCACAAATATCCACTTTGATTATTATTTAAATCTCAACATATTTATCTTGTAGCATTTGTTACTTACTAGCCTCGAGTGATAGAGAACATTAAGATGTTATATCTTCATATATATTATTTGTGATATCTTATCATTGCCACATAATCTTCACAAATATCCACTTTGATTATTATTTAAATGTCAACATATTTATCTTGTAGCATTTGTTACTTACTAGCCTCGAGTGATAGAGAACATTAAGATGTGATATCTTCATCAATTCTAATTATGTTGACCATTTTATAATTAATTCATTCCAAAAATTCG